CCTGCTTTGCCCATATGAGTTTTTTAAGGACACTGGCCTGGAGAACACCAAGGATGTTTTTGGTTACTTCTTTTCCCTTTGCCCCCAGGAGCTGTCACACAGTTTCTGAGACTTTCTTTCTCTCTAAGCCCTTACTAAAAGGCCATGAATGCTTCACTATCTATTTATAGACACCAGGATTTGCTGGGAATGATGATGAGGCAAAGGCTCACTATCTTGCTGTGTCTGGAGAAGAGCCACCAGCTTGTCTTCAGTGCTATCTCCTTCATGTGGCTGGAAAACAGAAACTGCTGAAGCCATTTCAGCTTAGTTATCTTCTAAGCATAGGTCATTGTTTGGAAGCTTTTCCCAAAAGCTTGTGGTTCCCCTGCTTGGCAAACAGAGGCTGAAGGCAGACAACAACATCCAGTAGTGTCTTCTGGATGATGTGTCTTCACTGCTCTGCTAGTGATGCTGCTCTGACCCTGGAGATAACATCCTCCCAGGCAGGGAAGAACCTTTGGAGAAGGGAGATGTTTGCAGCAGAGGATGGAGAAAGCTCTGCCACAGCTCTAGGTAGGAAAAGACTCCTCTGTCACATCCCTCATCACATCTAGAGGACAAGGATTGCTGTGGACAATGAACCAGCCATTGTGGCAAAACAGGAGGAAGAAAGGGTGAGGAAAAAAACCTCCTGAGCCCCAAATGTAGTTGGAGCAGACAGAGAGTTTGTGTAGATAGGTTTGTTCTGTTTGGCCATGGATGAATGGCCAGTGGATGAAAACCTTTGAGTGGTGCTCATCTCTCAGAGGGCAGGCAAGAAAACAACAAAAGGTGGTGACAAGAGGAGTGAATGAGGGATCTCTTGACAGGTTTATCCAAGGTGTTTGGATGCTTAGATATCAACTCACTCCTCAAGCACCTTTTTTTTTTTTTTTCCTGCCATTTACCTAATTCCCACCAAACCCAAGAGGCATAAGGCATAATCTTATTCAGAAGGTGAGGGCTGAAAATCTTGCTAAGCCTCTTAAGAAACGTTGCTGATCCAAAATCCTTTTCCTCAGGGAATTATACACAGATCTCTCCTTCCAAATGAATGTTCAGATTTAACCTTCCTGATTTACACAGATCTCTCCTTCCAAATGAATGCTCAAATTTAACCTTCCTGATCCCAGTCCCACCACAGAGGTGTCTCCACAGCAGTGGCTCTAGAGCAACCATCTGTTCCAGCTCTGCCAGCCAGCAGCAGAGAGCCTGTGAGTAATAGTTGCTATAACATCCTAGCTAAAAAAAAAAAATCACCTTGTCCTCTAATCCCATACCCAGGGATAGCATCTGCTCTTGCTTGGCTTGAGACATCCCAATCTACACAACAGAATTGAGACAGGGCTGTGTGTGCCAGTTCCTTTTCCCCCCAGTGACCTTCTCAGCAGCCCTGGAAGACTCCTCACTCACCCAGGTGAAATCCCATGTGCTGAGCCCCTTTTCCCACCTGGACTGAGCAGTTTTACCTACCCATGGAACACCCAGGTCCCACATTCATCCGCCTTGGTGATGTAGTTTTCAGGCAGTAGCCCAGAACAGCCAGTGGTAAGGGAAATGCCATAAATCCAACCCTCACTTGTGCTGGTTTGTTCCACTGGGGACATGAAAATGAAATCCCCTGGGACCAGTTCCAGTTCATCATCATTCTGGGGAGTGTAGGGGTAGATCACTTGCAGAGTCTGGGGGAGAAAGAGAAGCTCAAGTGAATGAAAGGATTGGTAATGGAAGGAACACCAAACCTTTAACCTTAGCAAGGTGTGAACAGATCTCTTTGTACTGCAGCACTTGCTGCTTTATCCAGGAAAGCTTTCCTTCAGGGAATTCCCATTGCTTCCCACTCTTTGCTGTTCAAAACCTTTTCTAGGTCTTTCCTTCTTCCCAATTTGATTCCAGTTGTGTCTTTTGACAACCAGGAGGAAAAGGGAGGGATCATTTCTAAGTGAGCCAAATCATCACTGTGTGCTTAGATCTCAGCACCCTGTTCAAAATGGAACTGAATTCTTACAGCACCTGGAATTTACACAGCTTTATCACAGCATTCCCTCACTGCAAAGGAGAACAAAGTGTTCTTGTCCCTGGCCAAGCCTCACTTCTGCAGTGGCATCACACAAAGCAAACCCAGCAGCTCTGAGCTCCTCACGGTGTCAGCCCCCACTAGACTCTCTGTGGTATCTTCAAAGGAAGATGGAAACTAGTCACTGTCACCTGATAGCACAAGGCCACAACTTTCACACTTGGCTGCCTGAAGTGAGACATGCAAAGATGAGAGTTGGTTTCCATCAGCCATCAGCAATAGTGTTGGTCCTGTGAAGCTTCTGAGGGATGTGATGCTTTGGATAGGGAAGGAGGGAGTCAGGCATGGAAACACAACCTGGGCTGGGTCACAGAGATTTCAGCTCTCCAGAAGCTTTGGCATTTGTGGTGTATCTTGTGCTGCACTAAAAGAGCTTTTTTTTTCCCTATGCCACAGGTTTTGTGTGTCTGGTGCTGGGCAATGCACCTTGGTGGGGTTAATATCCCAAGTTTGGCACCTGAGCTCTGGTTCCCTCCTCCAGACACTGATTCATCTTAGATGGGATAGATGTCTCAGGTTCTGGAGGTGCCTGTTGCTCTGCACTGAGCCTCAGGCTGGCTCAGACTTGGGGTTATTTAACATTCAGATAAGCTGAATCTCACAAGTGGCTTCTCCATGCCCAAGATCCCAATCTACACAATGGAATTGTTATTTTTTTTCTGTCCATTATGCTGGAAACCAACACTACTAAGAGAACTATATTTAGATACTTAGATACTGCAGTTTTAGAATCTATAAGAGTAATTGAAGTACAGAGGCCACGAACGTAAATACTTCACACATGATGGTGATGATCTTAGAGGTCTCTTCCAACCTTGATGATTCTATGAAACTAAATGCTGTGGTTAATAATAAAGTCAAGCCTGTACAGTAGAATTGGATACTGGTCAGGTTAAAATACTGGTCTAGTTGTGGAGGGGATACTGGTCAGGTTAAAATACTGGTCTGGTTCTGGAGGCATCAGACCAGTTTATGATGATCTCACAGGTGAATAATTGTTAGAGTTAATGAATCCAACAGGATTCCTGCAAGAAGGAATGAGGTGGGTGAATAGCAAGTTTGGACAGTGTGAATATGAGTCAAAAGCCAAGAGGAAGGCAATGTGGTCTGTTTAAGGTGTTAAGGTCTGGGAAAGGGGGTTGGGACTGAAACAAGCTCCATGATTTACCTCATGATTGACAAAGCGAATGTCTCGGGAGAATATCGCCGCGACCCAGTCGCAGCCCAACTTGACATCAATGTTCTGTGCCAGCTTCTCCAGAGTGGGCAGGTGGCTGGTCTGGAAGTGATAGGCCAACGTGACATGGAGCTGCTTCTTGTGGGGCTCCACGTGGACATCTGCAATGAGAAGATGTGGCTAAACAAGTGGCTGCAAAGGCTTTGGGGAAGGGAGTTCCCTACATAGAGTGCACCTTGGATCAAATTCTTAGGGATTTGTGGTCTGAGTGACTCAAGGATGAGCCACACCAAGCACTGTGAGCAGTTTTGGGCCACTCATGTTAAAAAGGCCATTGAGGCACTGGAGCAAGTCCAGGACAACACAACAAAGGCAGAAAAGGGCTAGAGCACACGAGGAAGGGCTGAGGGAGTTGGGCTTGGTTAGCCTGGAGAAGAGGCTCAGATCTCATGGCTCTCTGCAACTCCCTGACTAGAGGACTAAAGGCAATGACCTTGAGCTGAGACAGGGCAGAGTCAGATTGGATGTTAGGAGAAATGTTTTCCCTGTTAGGGGGCTCAGACAATGGAATATTGCCCAGGGAGGTGGTGAAGTCACCATCCCTGGAGGTGTTTGAGGCATCTGGATCTGACACTGCAGGATCTGGTTTAGGGGTTCCAGCAGTGACAGGTTAGTGGTTGGACTCAATGATTTCAGAGGTCTCCACCAGCCTTGCTGATTCCATGATTCAGGGTGGCAGACAAGGCATCCTTGCCAAGCTGCCAAAACAACACGTCTCTGGATGGTGTGATAACAATTACTGCAATTCTGAACACACTGGATCTGCTGCCAGAAACAGTCACTTTTCCAGATAAAGGGTAGGCTTTCATTCCAGGGAATGGGTAGGCTTTTATTACCAGCTGAGGATCCAAAATAAGCAAGTTAAAAAGCATAATTTTCACTTTCCCTCCTTTGTTCTCTCTCTTACACTAGCAACTACAAATCCATGGATTTCCAGCTTCATGCAAGTTGATTAAATCTTTTCCCTGGACATCAGTTTAGCCACTGAGGGTTAGGTATTCCCAAATTGTGGAAACAGACATTGATCTAATAATGATTCCAGATGATCCTGCAGAAAAAAAAAGAACCTGCAGCAGGAAAAGATTCCAGGAAGCAGAAAGGTGAAAGCCTGTGAAATATTGGGACTCTTCCAGTAGATGTGGAAATCATAGGATGCACTGTTTGCATGTAATTTATTCTTGCTTAGTCAACCAAAAATTGCAATTAAATTTGACTGATTATTCAGTCAAAATTGCAGCTATTCAGAGACTTGGTTCCAAGTGCCAGCCAGGGGTAGCTTTGCAAGCTCATCCATCTTTTCTTTTTTTTTTTTTCATCAGCAAGAAAAAAATATGTTGTGGATCTCTGAAAAAGCCCCAGAGACTCTTAATGTGAAAACCAGACCAGGCTGTGGGCTGCAATGCAGCAACCACCTTCCCCTAAGGAAAAAAATGGTCTGAATTGGAGCAGCACAAGGGCAGAAGCTTGTTGGGAGCCATCAATGCTTCCTTCTTCTGGGTCAGTCGATTTTGGGCTAAGAATTGCCCCTCTGATTGTTATTTAGAGGATATGTCTGGGGAACACTTTGGAGGGGAACACTTGTCTGCTCTCATGTGGCTGCAGCATCCTTGGACCTGCCCAATGTCTCTGTGCCTGTCACTGCCTTCCAACGTGTTCATTTGCAAAGATAACAGCCATTCCCTCCCTCTCCTAAAGGGAAGGAAAGTTCTAGGTCCCTGTCAGGAGAAAGCGATGCAGTTGAGAGGTGTGATGAACCTAGAGCAGGACACATCTGATCTTTCCTCTGAACCAGGGGCAGACTCACAGCTGCTCTGCATGGTTAGGGGGTTCTGCATGGTTATGGGGTGCCTGTCTAGCATGGAAACACCCCAGAGATGCAGAATTTTCTGTATCTTGAGGCACTTCAACTCCAGGGTAAGGCTGTGATAATGAAGGACTAAAGCAGTTGTGTTGTGACTAGTCCAAGCTGAGAGCTGCAGCGATGGAGGGTGGGAGGATTAGTCAGGGAGCTATTAGTGCTCCCATGATGTTCTGACTTCCGAGTTTGGAGGTAATCAGAGGACAACCAAAGAGCCTATTCAGCAGTGGAGACCACAGGCTGCTCTGGATATTTTCCCCTCTCCCAGCTCCTCACAAGTTTGCCCTCCAGAAGCAGCAGAGGACCAGGAATTGGACCCAGCTATACTGGTACTGAGGTTTGAAAGGTTCCCCCCTAGGCTGCCAAGGGTCTTGGAGTGTTCTCACAGAGCCCTTTGGACAACTGCAGTGGCAAAACAAACAGAGGCTTTAAGTGGTCGAGGAAAGTCCTGTGGCAGTGGCTTGAGGTAGTGAGAGGAGCAGGAAATGCTCAGCCCTGCAGAAAGAGCTTCTATCTGAAAGGTTGAGGAACCACCAAATGTCAACTTCCCTTTCAGCAGATAACACTTGAGAGTGTGAGGTGATCTTTCTACTGAAACCCAAAGCACCCAGCAGGGTGTTCCTCTTGGGCTTCTAGTCTTCACTTTAAAAAATCAGGTATTGTTACGAGCTTAGTTTCTTCATGGCATCAGAACTTTGGTTTCTGCAGATGCTCAAGCTGTGAGCTGTTTGCAGCAGTCACTCACCTGCTTTAGAAGCTGCCTCTGCAGCAAAGTCTGCAGCAAACTTCTTGAGCACCTCAGCACTTTCCTCCTTGACAAAAAGCCCAATGAAGTTTGAGGATGTGTAGAGCTCCAGAGGCAGAGGGGCAGGGAATTTGCATTTCCACCGCATCACAGTGGCCTGCAGAGCTTCTGTCAGAGCATCGACCTTGCTGTCCTCACACTGCAAAGGGAAGCAGGACAGGCATTTCTCAGGCAGGGCAAGAAAAGGTGTTTGCGTGGGAATGGTCTCCCTTTGCATAATGTAGTGAGAAAAAAACACAGGGGCATGGAAAATATGTTTAGAAACCATCTACCCCTCTCATGTCCTCAAAGCAGGATCAGCTATCCCCAAGTAACCTTCCCACCCTCCCCATACCCATTCTCATGGTAATGATCACTTGAGATGCTGAGAATTTGGTCTTCTGCTACTATTCTTCCCAGAAAACAACAGCTTAAAACCCAATTACCTCCTCCCCAAGCCCAGGCATCAGGAAAATCACCCCCAGGTTCCTAACACAAACCCTTCTGCAAAGCTGTAAATACAGCCCCAGCCTGGCAAGGGATGCTCATGAATACAATGCAGAAAGGCAAGGAAAGAGGAGCTCTGCTTTACCATAAAAAACTGGCAAAGGGTGATATGTGGGAAAATGTTGTGAGCTTTGTTCTTCCCACAGATCTGCTTCGACTGCTGCCAGAACTCTGAGAGCTTCTGAGCCAGGGGACCCGTGGGGCGAAGGTAGAGCACGTACTCCCTGGGCAGGGTGTCATCAAGGAATGGGTCACCCACATGGGAGAAGAGCCTGGCAGGGAGAAAGAGCTGTTAGACTGACAGATAATGCCGTATTTTTTCTCCCAGTGAAATCAGCTTCCCCTGTCCTGCCTCCCGTTTGTTCTCCCTTGATGGAAGCAATCAGCTCTGGAGGTCAGGCAGAGCTGCTCTGCCTCACTTGCAGCCCATTACCACTGCTAAGTAATACAGAAAATTGGGTTTTGGTTTCAGCCTGATGCTCTGAAGATCTAACCTGGGTCACTGCTGCTGCCTTTGTGCCTTTCAGTGTACAAAACACAGGGAGGAGAACACTAGAAATTGCTCAACAGCTTTGAAAAGGCTCAGCTCTCTGGGTAGCCACAGGCAGTGAGGTTTTCCTTCCCTCACCTGTTTTTGCTTTCACTTGAGATCACAAACTCCCTCAGACAAAGCTTCTTTTAGGATTGTTCATTTACAACACAATCTCACTTATTCTGCAGGTGCTTTTCATACAATACCCTTGGTTTACATCCCCCATTCCATGGGCTAAAAATCTTAAATTCACTGATTTTTTTATTTTTTACTCTTGAACATTTATTACTTCATACCAACCAGTCGCAAGCTGCTTGAACACTTCTTCCTCCTGTCGATGCCAGAGCTTTTTGTCTGAGGAGAGAGCAAAACAGAGAGTGTTTCAGTGCTGCTGAGTGATGTGGCTCCTGCCACTATTGCTTGGACCATGGGGAAGGGCTGTACCAGTGTGTTTGGAAACCTGTGGGATACCTTTCAAGCTGATTCTCTCAGCCCTGGAGTGGTGGTTTTTGGGGTTTTTTTTTTTTGGATGTGTCCCTGTCAAATCATCATAAACTGTTTGAGGGGCAAAGTGATGCAGCCAGGGCAAAGCATGAGGTATGGACCTCTGGGTTTTCCCTGCTCCCTCACTTTTTCTGGATAGTCAAGCACCAACTATTGGCATTTAATGACCTCTTTGCTGGGTGTTTCAGTGTGAAAATCCCAAGGTTTGGGTGTGAAAGTGCAAACGTTGCACTGAGGACAAAGCAAAATTCAATTGCCACGAGGGGGCACAAACCAGAGATGTTCCAGGTTAGAACAACCTGCCAAAATCTTCTAGTTCCCTTCAGTCCTTGCTACAATGAAAGTGCTCCTTGCTTATTATGCCTCTAAATCCCTTTGTCACTCCATCTGGGGCGATCCAAGTCTCCTGTTCAGCAAGTTTTCCAGTTGCAGAGCAGTGTTAACTCATAAACGTGGAACTATGTTTTCCAAATGTTCAACATCAGTGTTGAAATGGATCAGAACTGTGGATCAGCTCAGCTTCGTAACACTAGAGACTGAAGGAGGAATTCACCCAGAATCCAAGTGGCATAAATATTGGGCAATATTGTGAGTGAAGGAGGCAGGAAAGGATGGAGGTTTGGGCAGAAGTCAGGCCCTAGGTTGGGTGTTACGAGTTAAATTCCCCTCGAATAGGTAATTTCAGGACTTCCTACTTTAGGAAAGAAGGACAGACTCCATGGCTCTAGGATCAGGGGAGCTGGGACCCTCCAGCACTCCTTGTTCCAGCCCATGGTGGTGTGACAGTTTCTGTCTGCAGCACTGACTTTCGAAAGCCTCTGTGAACCATGGAGGATATTCATGCAATGTTACCCACCAGCTTGCAGACATGTGTTGTTGACTCAGCTGTGTTTCAGCTCTTGCCTTCCCCACCCCTTGAATATACATATTTTTGTTCATTTTGAGTGTAAGAGGAAGGCAGAAAGATAATGCTGGGGGAAAAAAAAAAAAAAAAAAAGAAAAAAGGAGGGCTGTGTTGCAAATGTGTGATTACAAAAATACTTCCTCCTGAAGCATTTTCCTGCCCTTATCTGCCAACATTCAATTGAGATCAGCAGTGCTGGACCCAGCACCTGTCTTCTGAAAGGATATATCTCCTGTGGTGAACATTGTAGGTTGGTGTGTTCCACCTCCATGAGATGGAACTCCATGCTCTCTTCCATGAGAAGAGGAGGCTCAGGGGAGACCTTCTCACCCTCTGCAACTCCCTGACAGGAGGTTGGAGTCAGGTGGGGGTTTGTCTCTTCTCCCAGGCAACCAGCAGCAGGACAAGAGGGCACAGACTCAAGCTCTGCCAGGGGAGGGTTAGGTTGGATATTAGGAAGAGATTTTTTACAGAGAGAGTGCTCAGACATTGGAATGTGCTGCCCAGGGAGGTGGTGGATTCCCCATCCCTGGAGGTTTTCAAGCTGAGACTGGATGTGGCACTTAGTGCCATGGGCTAGTGACCATGGTAGGGTTGGACTCAATGATCTTTGAGGTCTTTTCCAACCTGGCTGATTCTCTGATCATGGGTGACCTCTCCCTGCTCTGGCTCAGATGTGCTATGCAAAGCAGCTACTGCTTTGCTTTGAAAAGTAGCTTCGGCTACTTTTAGGGCAAAAAACTCTTCCCCCTTGCACAGGCTGGGAACATTTCAGGTTCTCTTTAAGGACAGCAATGGCCAGCTGTCGATTTCCCTCCCCTGGTTTCATCACCCAGTTCTCTTGTGTTGCCTTTGCTCAGTTCCTCTCCCTTCTTGCCAGGGTTGGTTCAGCTCTTTAAACCCTGAGCTGTGACTCCCCACACCTCTGAACCGTGTCTGTCTGTGTCACATCCGAGGCAGTGAGCTATAACTGCCTCCCAGTAAAGCTCTGGCTGGGAAATGAGCAGTTTCTCCTGTTGCCAAGCTCTCTCTCCCTCAGGATTTCCTCTCCCCAGACTCCAGCTCAGATCTCTGAAGGATCTATGCCCAATCCAGCAGGACAGAGGCTTCTGTCACCCACCCTTGTTGTCTTGTTCCCTTAAGAACTGATGTTTCCCTGGAACAAATCACACAGTGGAGCTCTGCTGGAGCTGACTGCAGCTCCTGCTCTGCTGCCTTTGTGCTTGGAGACCCCAAAGGGCATTAGAGAACATCTGACTGGCCCCACACACGTGATTTCCAAAGGTGCCACAGGGACCATAAACTCCCTTTTCAATTTCATCTTCAGTGTGAGGAGCAAATACTGCAGCAAGCAAATAAAAGCCAAAAAGTATTTTTATCCCAGGACCTGAAACGAAGAGATTCTTTTTTTTTTTTTCCCATTATTTTTTAATTTAGTGCAGGGATTGCTGCTGATGACTGATAGCCTCTGCATCCCTCCCAAACCCTCTCCCTGCAGCCACCTGCCAGAGCCTGGAGAGGATCCATCCTCCAGCTCCCAGGCCAAGAGTAATGTTTTATAAGTTGAGTACTCAGAACTAGTCACAGCTATCCACAAATGGCCTGATTTCCACATTTGCTGAGTGCAGTGGGAGCTGGAAGACATAGCCTGCTCCTGAGAAAACCAGGTCACTTAATTAGGTGACTATGGCTTAGGTGCTCAGATTTACTCATGCTGGGTAGCAAGTGTTGGCTGTAGCATTGTAGCTAGTGGTAAAAAGTGGGTTTGTGACTCAGATGAACCAGAAAAGAAGAAAAGGCAAGAAAATAACTTAGTTTTCAGGCTCTACCAAATGGCAGTGCACAGTAACCTTTCCTGGGTGTGCAAAGAGCAGCTGGATTGAGATAGGAAAAGCTTTGTGCAACATTTCTAGTCCTTGGAGCTACCCAATTCCTCCATCTCTTAACTTCTGCTGCCCCTGAGGTGAAATGAGGGAGATCATTTAGCAGCACACATGTAATAACCACTCTGAACAGACAGCAAGGGAGATGCTCTGTCCAACTGGAGATGGAAAGTTTAGGGATGGGGAAATTAGATCCTAATAGTGTTGTCCAAAAACACTCCAGGTATTTTAGCCACCACAAAGAATCAGTTGGTTTTCATTCCTCAACCTCAAAGACCTCCCTGTGACACTCCTTCATGCCAAGGCACAACCAAAGCCTTTCTCCACTCAATGACTGCTTAAACAGGATGAAGATAGTGCTAGGAAATGTCCCAGCTAAACAGTTGACCTTTTAGCCTGAGATATTAAAGCAGAATTGGTGTTGCTGCCCTGGCATAGACATTAATGTGTAAATGGTGCCCATTTTAACCCCAGCTCACTTAACAGAACAGCACACAGCTCTGTGCTGCAGGACTCAACTCAGCACTGCTGAAGGATTTTTGGGTTCCTGTCATTTCAGGGTAGGGAAAAAAAAAAAGGCAACAGGGGAATGTCAATGCAGTTAGGAAATATATATCAATAAAGTATAATGGCCAAAACCCATTTACTTCAGAGGAAATGACTGTAATGGGGAATGATGCATTAACCAGAAAGAGAAGCTTCAGAGCCAGAAGCAACACACAGAAATCTTCCCTCTGTTGAGTGCTCAGCTTTCTGGTTCTAGCCCAGTTTAAAACTGCTCAGCTTTCTTCCAGCCCAGTTTAAAAGTACTAATCTTTATTCCAGCTCAGTTTAAAACATGCTCATCTTTCTTCCAGCCCAGTTTAAAGGAGCTCAGCTTTTTCCAGCCCAGTTTAAAGGTACTCAGCTTTACTCTAGCCCAGTTTAAATTAAAAGTGCTCATCTTTCTTCCAGCCCAGTTTAAAGGAGCTCAGCTTTTTCCAGCCCAGTTTAAAGGTACTCAGCTTATTCCAGCCTACTTTAAAAGTGCTCAGCTTTTTTCCAGCCCAGTTTAAAAGTGCTCAGCTTTTCCCAGCCTAGTTTAAAAGTGCTCATCTTTCTTCCCGCCCAGTTTAAAAGTACTAATCTTTATTCCAGCTCAGTTTAAAACATGCTCATCTTTCTTCCAGCCCAGTTTAAAGGAGCTCAGCTTTTTCCAGCCCAGTTTAAAGGTACTCAGCTTATTCCAGCCTACTTTAAAAGTGCTCAGCTTTTTTCCAGCCCAGTTTAAAAGTGCTCAGCTTTTTTCCAGCCCAGTTTAAAGGTACTCAGCTTTATTCCAGCCCAGTTTAAAGGTACTCAGCTTTATTCCAGCCCAGTTTAAGAAAGGCAGTGTGTGTGTGCTGCCAGTAGCAATGAACTGCCAAGTGGGAAAGCTAATCAAACAACGCAAGAGCAAAGGATGGGGGAGAACTATTCTGAGATATTGCTTCAGCTGCATTCTATTTTATCACTAAAAAAGTATGCAAACTGTGGGGGGTTGATGCCCACAGCAGGGATTTGCATTGCCTCTCTCTTTGCTGTACTAAGCAGAGACTCAAACCCTATGGTTTGAGCTCTCTTGGCTATAAGGACTTTTGCTCTGAGTTGCTGCTCTCCAAGGCAGGAGAAAATGCCATCAACAGCCTCTACCTCAGACCCACCTCTGAGCTGGCTGCCTACAGAGGCACCCAGGGATTTGTGAATGAGCAATGGAAGGATGGAGCAGCCTGTGAAAGAAAGGGAATGACTAAATCTTCCCTTTCATTACGTGCCTCAAGCCTAGACAAACTTCTTATCCGTGAACAAAACCCCTTAGAGGGATGAATTCATCAGCTCAAGTAGGCCCTGAATCTTTGGCCCATAAAATATTTAGCTGTGTAAATAAAGATTTTTTTTTTTTTTGGGGGGGGGGGGGGAATGGAATTAAATATGATGGAAGTACTTGGCTCTGCTCATTAGGTTCCATTCGAGGCCTGCCTGACATGATAAGAGAGGAATTACAGATCATAATTTATGCCAAATGAGTTTGAAAGAAAGATGCTGTCAAACGCCACTTTCTTTTTTTTCCTGAGAAATATAAAATAGGCACCTTTATTTCTGC